ACCTAGAAGCAGGAAGAGGAACTGATGAGAAACCCTGCAGAGTCCTGTTGCTGTAATTCTGGACTGCAAGTCCCAGAGACCTTGGGGGCAGCAGGAAGAGGAAGTGAACACAGCCAGAGAGTTGTGCTCTAGCAACCCCTGGCTTCTGGCCTGAGCCACTGCAGGCATGTGGCTGCATTTCCTGAATCAAAGGTATACATCTGTTCACTTCTGTTTCAATTTAATCTGTGCATTTTAGATTAACCAGCAACTGATTCAGCCTTAGGCTGCTGTTTGACCCTCTCTACCTAGCCTGAGTATCTAATCCTGCGTTTGGGAACTTACATAGTGATTTTAGGGCCCTCAAAATATACTGTTAGAATTTAAGTACCCACTGAGCATGTTAATGCATAACTGGATGCCCTAGGTCACAAGTCAGAGGCATACACTTCAAAACTGAGCTCCCCATCTGGGTAACTGGAACTTAATCCAAAAAGGTGGGATGTTCCCATGCCTTTTTCTAGTCACATTTTTCACTGAGAATTTTAAATAGATAAAAGCCCGAACAAAATCCACCCTCCCTTCCTAAGCCCAAATGACCAGAAATTTAATTTTCCATTCAGATGATTTGGGTTAAAGTAAATTGGAAAATAACTCACCTTCTGTTTGCAAAAGGACTTCCTGAGGGAACAGAGTGGGAGAAGAGTGTGTCATTCATGCTGGTTACAGGTCTGGGAGGCCTATGAGAAAGCAAAATAGTTAAGCATATTCATTTTTGATTTAATAAACTACAGCAATAGTGTTTACAAATAAAGATGATTTTCCTGCTCAAGGTAAATTGCCTGTATGTCTTCTATTTTAAATAATTGCTCCAAATTGAAGTAAGAGTGTGCGTGCGCGCATGCGCGTGCGCACGTGTGTGTGTGTGTTTAAAACATAAGATAAAAGGACTATGGTTGGGTTTTTGTGTATTCTGAAGTACCTTTTAAGCAATTTGCTACACGATTATTCTAATCTGACAAAATAATGTATTGTGAAGCATCTTTCTAAAACTCCATGGTCTATATTACTGTGACTGCAGTATTGTGTAGACATCTCTGAGCTAGATTTAAAATACCTATAATGGTCCAGCTGCTACAGCAGGGAGCTCAGGGCAGCTTAACTGCTTGAGTATTTAGCCAACTTTTGAAGCAGGTTTTATATTCAGTGCTGAGCCTTCTGATACTGTATCAATGTAGTGACTGCAGTGTAGACATAGCCCATAAAATACCAGTAGTGCAAAAATGCTGCATAGGTATAACCTTTAAACCACCACACACTGAATAAAAATGACTGTCAACTTACAACTTAATTTTTTGTCTGAAATTGCTTATTTGCTGTTATTCCTAAAATGGAAATTAGAGGAAACCTTTTCCTTTTGCTTGTTTTTGTTTATCTTGAGTACCTGAAAGCACTTGGGGTTTAGTTTCTTGTTTTCTTTGCCTGGCAAGTTCTCTTCTATTTGTGTATGCTTCTTGTACAGAGAAAAGAAGTGATGAACATTTTGGAAATACAAAAAATAAGTTTTTAAAATTACAAAGGTGCCTCTGGGACAAGTACAGTACCTGAAGCTACATTTAACACAGGCTTTGTGAGAGATGCATTTATTTTGACTTCTGCAAGAGTACAGAGAAGGATGCAACAGCCACCCTCAGAAAATAGAACTGTACTGCAATTTTCAGGACAATGCAGAAGACCAAATTGCTGCATACAATAGTTTGAATAACCAAGGATGGTTATACGTGTTGGTGGAAATAACATTACACCATAAAAATTTTCCTCAAGAACTCTGAAGGGTTAATTTGGTTTCTTAAAGTGGAAATACCATAACAATTTAAAAAAGCTTATAATGTCTTTTCAGATCATGTCATGATAAGAAGCTACTTTTTTGGCCTAATGCTGTGACTGGTAAGTCACATACTGAATTCTCTATCTGGTTGGTCACTCACGGATCCACAGAACCTAAGAATGCTGTGCTTATGAACAAGCTGCTCTGAGTTCATAACAGGAAGCAAAGATGTACAGTGTGGAAGTGACTTTATAGTAATTTCCCTGTTTCACGAGGGGATCACTTTTACTTATTGTGAAACAAGAGCATACATACAGGCAATTACCATGGAGCAGTTGGTGTGCAAAGTCATCATTCTGATAACGAACCTTCAGACCCAGAGGACTTGAATTTTTGGGAAGCACACAAAAACTTTAGTTATTTGGTGAATGCAACAGATGGCACTTTGGTTCCCAGATACCTAAAAATCAACTTCTTAGACACCTAAGTGAGTTAACTAAACCTGTAGCAATTTTTGCTGACAATAGGTGGGCAGAAAAAAAAACTCTCTTAAAACGAATGGAAGTTTTTAGATTGAAATCAGTGGGAGTTTTGCCCCACATGATTCAATGGGGCCATGATTTCACCTCTAGTTCCATTCTTTTTTAACATTTGTTTCTCCATTTAGAAACTGGAGAATATTATTCTTCCTTGCAAGGTTGTTAGATGCATCAATTTTGCTTGACTAATACTACTGATGTTAAGAGGGCAAATTGTGCATATCAATTTTAAAAGAAGTACATGCAGTCAAATAGTATGATGAAGAACCACCCTCAGTGCAGCTCTTTTGCTCAAAAATATTGCATCTCAAGCATCAAAATGCTCTGTCAGGTACTGCTGGATTGTAGTATCATTATTTATTTGTTTTGCAGCAGTTCCTCTGATCCTCGGTCCTGGTGTAGAGCCTCTTATATGCTGTACAAACACAGCACAAAAACTCCATTCCTACCCCTCAAGGCTTAAGACCTCAACTGCTTCATCACCAAAATGCAATTATAAATCATTGAGGGGAGACTGATAATAAAAGACTTCCTTAAAAATTAAGAATAATGTAGTCTTCTTTAATTGGCAAGCTACTTAGATCCTGGGAATTTTAAACTTGTGATTTATTTGGTGCCAGTGTTTCACATTAGCTACGTTATTTTTACATTTATGGTTCATTTTATTTTTAACCTGGATGATGAAACCATTGGCCATTATGTATATTCAAGAGTTGTTATACATTGTGTTGGACTCTGTGTTGGGATCAACAGTGAAGATATGAGTGATGCTACATGTTAAATTTTCCTCCAAAAAACATGCTGAAGGAGAATAAAATACTCACCAAGTATCTCTTTTGCAGCCAAAATGAAATTGAAAAGAGACTATTAATTAAGATGACATTTTAAAATGTATATGCTAAAAATAGAGCTTTGAATATATGCCAAACTTAGCTCCTGGATCCTGCAAACAGGCATGTGAGAAAAGTCTATGCACATTAGGTAATGGGGCTGTTTGTAGGTCCAGAGTTACTAGTATGTGTAAATGCTTGGAAAATCAGAGCCTTAATTCATGTTTACTGATCTACTTAATTTGTGGCCAGACAAAGGATTTTTTGTGGCTTTGTCATGGCATGAAGAGTTGATTTCACAGGCATTTCCCAGTGACCCTGCCCCTCACCGCTGAGTCGTGGGGAGGCCCGGGGGTGCAGGGGGAGAGAAGAGGGGGCGGTTGCCATCTTGGCTACTGGCTGCCCTTCTTGCCACCTTGCCAGCCAGCACCCTCCCCTCCCAGGTGGACTATGAGGCAGCGAGGACCTGGCTCCTACTGGCGAGCCAACATTTTATTTTTATTAATTTTTTTTTAAGTTGATTCCATGGACTATTTTGGATTTCATGGTTTCCATGAAATCTGCAAAAATGCATATTAAGTAGGTCCCTACTCATGTTTTGATCAAACCTTTTGCTTTGTATGCTGTTAATTCTCATATCAAGAAAACTCTTGTTGACATCCATTAGGGCTTTCACAGGATGACTTTAAGGGTCCCATCTTCACCTTCCTCAAGTTCAACTTGAGTATCACAGACATGTTTAAATATAAAAAGGTGCAATAGACATGGATGGCAGATCATCTGGACAACCAAGGTCAAATTCTAATCTCAGATGCACAGTCTTCTAACATAGCAACTGATCAGAATGAATAGCCTCCTAGTTCATTGCTAAGCTTCTGGAGAAGGGACCCACAAATATGGAGAAACCTAAATTACTCAAACAACCCACCTGAAGGAAGGCAGAAAGCAGCCCAGACACTACCTAAGCATGTTCTGTATGTCAGGGGTAGCTAACCCATGGCAGGCATGCAGCAAGTGGCATGGGCAGCTGCTCTGTGTGGCATGGTTGCCCCAGATGCTCAGTAGAAGGAAGTGCATTAGAGGAGGCAGGGGTCTGAGCCTCTGTCTGTGTTGGGCAGAGCAGAGGCAGGATGCCACTGAAAGAGGGGGTGTCAGGTGTCAGTGAGAAGAGCCAGGTTAACATTTCCCTGTCCCTGAAGCCACCACTGAACTAAGGACTTTGGATCCTCAATTACCATATAAAACGGTGGTGGCTGCAGGGCCACAAAAGGGTTAATCTGATTCTTGGAGGTGACATCTCCTCTAGAAGCAACTCACTCTGCTCACCCGGGCCAGGTGCTCAAAACCTTCTGCCTTCCTCCCAGAACCTCAGGTCACAAACTCTATCAGATATCCTAGGGGGGCAGGGCAGGGCAGGGCAGGGATCAGAGTGACACCAGGGAACAGGTGGGGTTTAACTTTTGGTATTCCTGCCAAAAAGTTGGCCACCACTGCTATATGCACTAGTGCATAGCTAACATAGTATAGCACTGGGCTGTCCAGCTTCCATATATTGTGTACA